TTCGACAAAGCCATGTATACATGTGTTAGTTTATTCATTTTTATTACATGGATTAATAACAATAATGATTCTTTTTCTGCTCAATAATACACATAACATAAGTCAGTTTGTCAGAGAACTTACACTAAATACAAAATATACATCATTTTAAATGAATTTAATAAGGTCGACTCAACGTTTTGAATGATAAACAATTTATGAATAAAATTCCCACGTAAATATTGTAATCATTTGATTTTAAAATTAAATAAGCCATCTTAATGAAACTATTAAACATATTAGTCTATGAAATATTCCAACAATCATAAAACCTTTTACAATTTGTTTCGTGTATATTAATTGATCATTCATTCATGTTTTAATTCAATGATTAATATAACAATCGTAAACATATTTCTATTTATGATGAATAAAGACGAATCAACGGTACTTTCAATTTTTAACACACTTAACTCTTTGTCTCCTGGCTTTAGGGTGAAGTGCAGGTGCAGGTGGAGTGGGTGTGGCTGTATTGTGCCTGTGATACACACACTCACACCCACACCCACACCCACCCACATGTAAAAGATCTTCGTTTATATTTAAAATGCTGTTGAGAACAATCATTGATTCATAGAAATAATTTGATAACAAATATTCTCATTAATTTACCAAGATTAAAAACATTTCAATTTAATATTTGTTCATTCATTGAACATTCTAATCAAGTTGATTTATTATCAAATGAAGATATTCGAAATACATTTAAACAATTTTCAAATCAAATTATTTCTTGTATTGATTATTTTCCAGATGAAAGTCAAGTTCAATGTTATATTTATTCATATCCATATACATTGATAACTTATGAACGTGTTAGAAATCATTTTCCGGGCGGATTATTTCCATATACTCGCAGTTTCATTATTTGATGAACAACCTTTTAAACATGGATTTTTTACTCAAATTCAAAAGTCATTTCCATTTATGAGTCATTTAACTGTAATTAATTGGAAAGAACACAAGAAAAAGTTAAAAAATAATGATACAGGTTTATTAATCCATTATCATTATCTTAATCGTCTTAATCTAACTGAAGTTAATGATGATGATGTTGAACAATTTCTACTTGATACTAAAACAGCTTTAGCATTTAATCTTTCTCTTACTGTTGAGTATCGTTCTCTATAAAGAGTAATACATAATTTTTAAAGAATTCAAACAAGAATTAATTGTTCAAAAATCAATTGTATATATATTTGAATGAGATGCGCCAATCTTCAAAAGATTTCAAAAATTATTATGCAGTAGTTAATTTTGTAAACCTTTCACTATGATGAAAGGACAAAATGGCTCTTCATAAAATAAATTCTCAAAACGAGAAATTAATTGTTGTTATTTGAAAAGTTTATCATATTATTAAATTGTTCTATCGAAAGAAATATAACTAATGAAATTTTGAGACATTTCATCGATTGAAAACGTATCGATCAACAACAAACTAGATGGCATCTCGACATTGTCTGAAATGCGAGATATGATGCGAAGTGATTTATTGAAGTCTTAATATCTGTTTTTCTCGATAGTTTGAAAGAATTTGCATTTTGTTAAGAAGCAGAAATTTTATTTATATAGTTTTTTAAAGAAAAATATTTATTGACCGATTACGTACATATGTGGTTATTTATGAGTGATGTAGTTTATTTTTACCTATAAAAGATTTTTGAAAGCTGAATACTTTTGAAGTTTTTTTTTGTCTTTGTTTTGAATATTTCACATTATGAAAAGTAAATTCTCAGAAGAAACATATTTCTTGATATTTTTGTAAGAAATGTAAAAATTCAATCGGAATTTAGAAACTGAATTGTATAAATATCAAGTGCTTATTTTAATATAATGTTTGAAGAACTATTTTGTCGTTTCAATTATGATTTTGAAATATATATATATATGCATTGCATGTAATGAAAGCTGAGCAAAAAATGTTTATTAAAAAGATTGTTTGTGAGTTTATATTGTATGAAAACGTTTGTTGTCTGTTTTTCTTTCATAAAATAAAAATTGTATATAAAGGGTGAGTGTGGGTATTGCATTTCATCCACACCTACACCCTAACAGATATACCCAGTATGAAAGAAAATATTAAACGAAATTCAATAGACATCAACGACTTTCTTTTTGTACATCTCATTCAATATTAGCAGTCTTTATTGATAAGAGTATATATCACACATTTGTACACATCCTTACATTCCACACTCATCCACTCTTTTGCATATGTTATTGATAGTTAAAAAAGTACAAACAACTTTAATGAATTACATCAAATGATAAATAATTATTTAATAAGAGTGTTTAAATGAGCTTCCATGTCATAGGCATTAATTTCGTCAATAGTCAGTTTTGCGATTTTTATATTTTCCGATTTGTCTATGTTTCGCTTTGTGCTCCAACCGATTCTCTCGTTAAGATTTTCTCGAGCACGTGCACTTGCTTCTTGTATTCGTGTTGCTCTTGATTTTCTCAATTGTTCGTACAATTGAAGACCATGTTCGATTGTATGCACATTTTTACCCCAATGTTCAGGTGAGAAAATTAAAGCAAGTGCTGCTGCATCTTCAATTGCCATACATGAACCTTGGCTTTGATCAGGTAACATTGGATGTGCAGCATCACCCAGTAAAGCAACACGATCTTTTACCCAATAAGGATATGGATCATGAACGACTAATTTCCATAATTTGATGTCTTCAACATGTTCAAATATAGCTAATAGATCAGGATCAAGATCAGGAAATGGTGCACGCAACATTAATGATGTTGCACTAAAATTCCAACCTTCTTCAGTTCGATCATTGTGTGCAGCTGGATAAAAACAATAGAATGCAACGATCTCACTGTCAGAACATACTGTCACAACAATCTTATTGATACCGAAACCACCCCAGAACTGGATTGCATGATCATTTGAAAAATTTTTTAGATTCAGCTGCTTTACACGTGATGTTGGAATAACACAACGATAACATGTACTTGTGCATGGTTTTGTTTGAGGCATAATGCCGATCTGTTCGCGTACACAAGAACGAACGCCATCTGCACCAATGATTAGATCTGCACGTGTCGATGTACCATTATCAAATGTAACGATGCCTTCGACAGAATTAATATTAACGGCTTTATGATCCAAGATAATATTTACACCAAGAGTCTTGGCAGTTAACTGCATTTGTTCATGCAAATCAATTCGGTGAAACATATAATAATTAGAACCCCATTTCGTCTTATAATCATTAAAATCGTATACATCACGAATTGTACCATCGGTCCAGTTGCGCATAATGAGTTTTTCGACGATGATTGCTCTGTAGAGAAAAGAAACGATCAAAGTTGTAAATTCATTAGTAATATTAACTGTTACACAATTTATATAACTAACCTGGCACCAATGATATCAATACCCCATTGATTAAGATATTTAGTTCCATTAGCTGCTATAGTGAGTGAGGCACCAACTTCACTAGCAAAATGAGATCTTTCATAGACAGTCACAATGTGACCGTGACGTCTAAGAGCAATAGCAGCTGCTAAACCACCAATACCACAACCGATGACAGCCACATTAAAAGGTACGAATGAAGTAGTTACCGAAGTTGATTCCATTTGAATCATATAATTATCTAAAAAGTGATTAAATTTCTATGTGACTTAGTCAATAAAACGAACAAATAGTCACGCATCAATGAGATTTATGATTCATACCAAGATAACGAATTGTAATGATACATAACATGTTATCTAATGAACAAAAACGAACAAAAAATACCAATCAATAACGAGTGTATATAGATGGCGTCGCCTACAATTTACTAAACATATTTAAAAAAAAAACTTTACAGAAATATCACAAAATAAGTCTATATTAAAATTGTATTATGTTTTTGATTACATACAGATTCACTTGATTGATAATGTTACGGTCAACACTTTTTTTTAACAGAATATTTCATGAAAACGATGGCACTTGTGATAACATTTTAATTTATGTTCCGAGAGTAAACAAAGGTAAATGTGAAACAGGCGTGGCTATAAAAAGAAACACAACATAGGCAGGAAACTGGTGTGCAAGTGAAATCATGTATTCAGAAGATAAAGAAAATAAGAGCGAGTGCATACATCCTATTGAGTTGCTAAGTGATAAGATAACAGGGAAAATATCTGTATGAAGTTCATACAGATGTGAATGTAGGTATGGATGTGAGTTGTACAGTCAAGAAACACCCTCACCCACATCCTCAATAATAACGAATTTATTATCATTGATACTAACCTGAAATTATCTATCAAATTAGTTAAAGATAATTATTTGTAAAGCTTAGTTTCTTATTTTAAATAAAATATCTTTTATCATCAGTTTCTTCTATGGCACATGTGAATGTCTTTTTTATTCTCATCTTATAAAGATCGAGAATCTTTATGTTCATATCTTGTAAGATAATCATAAGTGAATAAATATGCCATTCCGATGCGGTAAGATTTGTATGTCATATAGTTTTCGACCATCAAGAGCACACTAACAGATCATGGGTTTGATCGTTTCGAATGTCCGCCCGCCGTTCACTATTTGTGTAGTACCATCAACAAGTGCGTAAGTTTCTTCAAATTTTTCGTCGCTTACTTCATTAACGACAGTAGAGCTAGGTTCTGGTGAACAAAAAAGCGTCATAGTTTCCTATTTCTCGGGGCTTCATGTCTCTTGCAACTTACACTTTTCATGTGTCCCAGATCGCAAGAGCACTGTTCTTTTTTCTGTATACTTCATCTCACGAAGGCATATTATTATCACCTTTTTATTTCTGTTCTTCACATCACCAAAGCACTTTTCTTTTTTCCTCTACTCTTTTTTTTCTCTATGCTTTATCTCGCGAAGGCACATTCTTATTTTCTTTTTATTTCTGGTCTTCACATCGACAAAACACTTTTTTTTCTCCGTACTTCACATAAGGGTCTTGCACCGAGATTTTTTCGGAATTGAGTATTTTGAAGTAGAAAATTAAGCCTGGCCTTTGAATTCTTTCGAAGATATTCAACGAATAGAGACTGAAATTCTCTATTAGGTCGTTGTATTACTGGGTCTCACTCATTGAGAAGCGCAAAAGAAATATCAGCGGGATTAAATAAATCTCGTTGATATTTCTTCTGCGCTGCACAGTAAGTCAGACCCAAAAATACAACCGCTCGATACAGAATTTCGTTTTCTATTCGTTGAACATCTCCGAAAGAATTTAAAAACCACGCTAAATGTTCCATTTTAAAAAAAAATCCATCTCGAAAAAATCTCGATGCAGGCCCTAGTGAACTGTCAATGGTAGTGTGACCTTTGTAAATATGTATCTCTTTTGTGTGGTAAAGCTAGATAGCTCAGTTATACTTTATGAGTTTAGAACGGGTAGTTTTTCTTGTCGGTTAACTATTTCTGTTCTTAGATCTTGATTTATCGTATCTTCACTTACTTTTTGATTCACAATGGCACAAAACAAGGCCGTACCTCAAAATTCTGTCGAAACTTACACAATCTACCCCACTACTAATAAATACAATCGTCCACCTCCACCATCAACAATAGCACTTCATGGTATGGATCTTATCGGTGCTCCTATAGATATCCGTAATCACCGGTTCTTCCACCCTCCACCATCTCATCTGATGAGCACTACTACGGACTTAATCGATAAACTGAAATCGTCTCTTGCCGAAGCACTCGAGTTGTATCCACCAGTTGCAGGAACTGTGGAAGTCAATGAAAAGGGTGAGTTTTACATCGCTATGAATGCCGAAAATAGATTGGGTACACCGTTCCTGGTCGAAATAAAAGACACACCGTATGTTGGCGATTCGGAAGCTCTATCTCCTCGACTTGATATGTTGCTACCTCCATCATCAAGTACATTAGCAGTCAAAGTAACTCAGTTTTCCTGTGGAACGATCGCCGTAGCCGCTTCTATTAATCACCTAGTCACTGATCTACGTGGTTTTCTCGATTTTCTTGAAGTCTGGGCTCAACTTGCTCGAGGCGAAACCATAGACTTTACGAAAATTCCCGATGATTGGTCTCATACTCCTGGTCGATTTTTTTCTGATCTAATCCAGAAATCAACAGTACCAACGGCTCCTCCAGGATTTATGGTTCTTCCTACTCCGCCAACTGGACCACCTTCATATCTATTGGAACCATCAGAAGTTACAAGATGGAAATTTACTAAGAGTGTTGTAGAACGATTAAAAAATGATTTCTCACCTTCTCACGAGTCTGATCTATGGATTTCATCGGGTGATGCACTTGCTGCTCTTCTTGGTGGTGTCATTACACGTGCTCGCGAAAATGCAAATGTGGCAAGACTAGAAGGAAGATCTAGTTTGGAGTCACAAATTGAGACACTTATGATGGCTGCTGATGGTCGAGATAGAGCTCCTCAAGGAAACATGTCTGATGGACGATACTTTGGAAACTTCAACCCCCTTTTTCAAACCGTCGTTTCACGCTCTGATTTATTATCTCTCACTTGTGAGTCAGCTTCTCGTGTCGCTCTGGCAGTTAGAAACGCTGTGAACCTTCAACTATCACCAGAAGCTATTGCTAACAAGATTTCGTTTATGGAAGCTCCCGAAAACACTAATCCTCCTGGCCCCAGTCGTATTTCTTGGACAGCAGATGTAATCATGACCAATTGGTGTCGATTTGATTTACAAAGCCCAAGATTAGGTTTTGGTTGGGGAAAACCTTTTTATGCAACACATGGTGGTGGTACTATTTACCCACCTGGATATATGCTGTTGACGCAGGAGAAGAGTTCTGGAGATATTTTTGTTATAATGGCAGTGGAACGGGCAGGTGCGAATAGGGTGAAAGCTGACTCATTGTTAAACAAGTATGCAGAACTGGTCACACTTCCTTAAATTTGTTGAGCGATTTCATGATATACAGCAATTTCAACACAGGTTGTGTATATATCCCAGGCTAAATTTTCTTTTTTTTTCAGGATGAAAATTTGAAGTTTTTTGTGTTTTTTTTCAATAATAAAATAAAATTGGAATTTATTGTAAAAGGAATGTTATGTGCTTGTATATTTATACGATCAAATAGAATACAACATATAACTATCTAAATTATAATAAATGTAACAATGACCTCTATATTGTCAAGAGATAATGAGTCAATATATTTTTTATTCTAAGCAAACAGTTCAACCTATAAATTCACTTCATATTAAATTTCAAGAAAAGATAATGATTACTAATAAAATGAACGTAAAGATGATTGCATGTCTACAAAATGATTTATCCTCAAAAGAAACCATCTTGATGATGTAGGTGTAGATGCAGGCAGGTGTGGGTGTACGTTAAGATGCGATTGTAGGTGTGTTTTAGATAGATGATATTATCAACGCCCTCACTCACTCTCACGATGGTACTTGCGATTAGATCCTTGTGGAGTTTAGTAGATTTTAAAAGTAATTTTTTTGAGCATGTTAACTTGTTTAGAAGCTTTTCAACAACTGCGAAAACTTCTTGAAAGCGTTCAATAAAGTTATTTACTTTTGTAAAACTTCAATGAGCATTCTACTTCAATTAAAACAGCACGCAGTATAGATCGTAGTTAAAAATAATTGAGAAAAACTTCAAAGATAACATGTATTAATTCTCACGAAATAAAAATCATAGAATTTTTTTATTGATACAGTAGAAGCCTGTGTATTACTGAGTAGCTCTCCTTAATGAAAGTGAAGAAAACAATATTTAAGAATCATTATTTACAATCTAAGTTTTGAATAAATCTTGAGGGTGTGCATGTGAATATAGAGAAGATTACTCCTCACCCACACCCACCTCCCTATGAAACTGAAATGTTGCGATAATCACTGGTGATGTGCTAGATAAGTAGTAGCTGCGTATATTTTCATAGAGGCTATTGCTATATCTATTTGCTGATTTTTGTATCAATATTGAATGGATATTTACGGTTAACTACTTCCCTACAAAGGCAGATTATATTTTGAAAAAAAAATATTTAGACAGTCATTTCATTTTAAGTTCCACAATTAATGGAAGATGATCAGATGACATATTTGTGGTAGATGTGTGATAGTTTGTTATCTCAAACATGTCCGCCGCTTTTTGATTCATCAAAATGTGATCAATCGTCACCGTAGGATTGCTCGCTGGCCATGTTGGTGAGCACTGTTTATGCGGTAATTTGAAACCGCCTTCCGTCAGTAGTAATTGAACGGTTGAACTGTGTGGTTCGTCATTAAAATCACCAGCTAAAATGAATGGCTGCTTTTCAAGTCCACTTCGTCGATAAATTTCAATAGCATCTTTCACTTGTGCTTCTCGAAGACTAACAATTTCATGTTCGAGATGAATAACACCAAAGAAGAGTTACTGGTCATTATTTATCTTGCAAGAGACAATTCCCATCGATCGTTGTTCGCCTTGACCACGCCCATCCAAATTTGCTTTGACGACCAGGTCAAAAGGATGTTTTGATAAAATAGCATTTCCATATTGTCCTCCTTGAAAGTCCATCGAAGGAATGTATATCTTATGAGCAAAATGAGCGTAACGAGCAAGTTCAGTTATTTGATCAATTTGAGCACCTGATCGTTGTGTAAATCTGTCCACTTCTTGCATAGCGACCAAGTCAGGCTGCTCTTGTTCAATTGTACGTGCGACATCGACGATTCCGTCAGGTGGTTCACGACAAGCAGCAATATTGAATGTCATTATTTTAAGACTAGTCATTTCTATCACTAAATGAATATTTTTATCTACAATAATAAAATACACATTGCCTAACACGTGTTATTTGCTATATCAAATGCGAACCATCGACTGAAATAACAATTGGTAGCATATGGTAATAACGTGATTAATAGGAAGAAGAGAAACAGAACGAAAAAAGAATTACATTTAGTCCTATCATTGTGCATTAATACGGGCATGATTGACGTGGCAAGCTGATGACTTATATCACCCATTTCTGAAACGAATCCACTGATTTATATACGAAAATTATTTGACAATAGAGTCAATTGACATGATAATTTAATGAAAAAAACAGACGCAAATGAAAAGATTGCTCTATTGTATCATTCCTTCTACGTATATTTTCAGTACCACTTACTAGCACCATCTATAAATTGAATTTTATCTTAGAATCGATAATGGTTTGAATAAAATCTCTAGATGTTATTTTTCTTTTATCTCTTTTATTTTCTATAGGAAAAGAAAATCAATTTCGATTTTGGAAAAATTATAGCGTCAGTTACAATATATCTCTGAGTATTATTTTAACAGATGAATTTATACAAGTGAACAGCACATTTAAATTCATCATATATGATTTGTGCGACGAGATAAATTAATATATTGTAGTCAAATGCAACGATCGTTTTCTAAATTAAATTACTCTCCTTCTTTTTATTCTATTATTTGTGAAAACCGTCTTGAGGGTGGATGTGGGGTAAGGTTGAGGTATTTTTTCCTTCCCTCATCCTCACTCTCACCGACACGCACACTAAATCCACGCCCACACCCACCCTCAAGATCTTTCATTCTTATCATAGTTACTAAGATGGCAAAATGACTAGTAATAGAGACAGCATTGTATTACGATGAAAATATAAGAAATTATGTAGCTATTAATCCCAGCGATATTATACTTTCAAATTTAAAACAAATGGAAATGGTGACTAAATATGAAGTTAACAATTTTGAAGTATTTTTTAACCCTGCAATTATACGAGGTGCCATGGCATCAAATCATTATCAACTTAAAAAGTATCACTTAAAAAAGTATCATAGCTATTTGATACGTTCATGTTTATCAACAACACATTCTCGTACTTTATTCGATATTATTAATGAACATTTCAATTTCAAGAGTAGAATTGGTGGAATGAAAAACGCGTTAGAAGAGATTTTTGGCGACGTCTTACTGCCTCGTTTATATCCCGAAAACGTCGTTAATAAGACGAGTATTAACAAAACAAAACGTATTCTTTTACACGGTACTCCTGGAATCGGAATAACTATGGTTGCGCGGGCGATTTGTGAAATGCTGAATGTGCATCCAGAAGGAGTACGTGGCCTAAAAATATTTATTTCTTTTGTTGTCGAATCCGAAAGAACGATTTGAAGCTTATTCGAAGATGCTGGACTTGATCAACAGAACATCGGCGCAAATAGCAAATTACACATGATTATGATTGATGAACTCGGTGCTGTATGCAAAAATCATGGACAAGATAGTTTAGTATGTGATAAGGTGCATGACAGTGTTACAACACAACTACTCTCAGAGGTGGTTATGGAACACAACATCATAATACCTCAAAAAGTTGGGTGGTTGCGGCGGTTGCATAAATTACAGATACCTCATCTCCTACTTCTAAAATGCTTGTAAGTTTGGAAGGGATCAAAAGTGAACTAATGTCTGTAGCAGCTGTGTTAGTAGAATTTGTAATCTCATCTGATCGTGTATTAATAAAATTTAGTTAATATATGTTCAAAAGCATACATACCTATTTATAATATATATATATATACCTATATATGTATATGTGAAGGTATACACGATAACAAAAATAAAGGCAACTGAACAGAAGAAAAACGACTTATTCGCTGAACAAGTTAAGAGGGAAAAATGGCGGAAAAGAAAAGAGAGAAAAGGACGAAATACACAAAAAGAAAGTTAGTGTTAATATATGACATCTATTGACGCTAACAAGAACACAATATTGATGTCTATTATATATCATTTTACGTCGCTAGGACAATCTTGATAAAAATACTGTACACAGTCGTTATGTTCGTTCTGTCATTTTGTGGTTAGCAACGAGTTATGTTTAGATTTCCACTCAGAGCAAATTTTAGCAAATTCCAAAGTTTTCAATTTCCCATCAACGACACTAAGTGAAACAGTACTAAAAGCACCACCACTGAGCAAACAGATCTCAAAAACTTCTAGAAAATTTCACATATTTGATGTATAGTATAATATACAAATTATATACAGATAAGATAGAAATAAGTCAAAAATACAGAAATTAAGAGTAAATTTTGAGATCATTTTACATATATAATGTATAATATAATATACATATGAGGGAGAGCTAGTGTAGAAAATAAGAAGTAAATACAGAAATTTCAAGAAAATTTCTATTTTTGTTTCTTCTTACTCTTCGTCTATGTTACATATAAACGATGATGCATATTGTTTTATTTCGGAATATCTATACATACTAAAAATTTGCTTGAAATTTCTATAAGTTCTCCTTTTTTCTACTCCTCAAATATCTTACATATATTCGATGTCATAAACTATCTAATGTAGTAATATAAAAATGAAGTCGAAATTTTCTCGAAATTACTATAAGTTCAAGTTCTCTTCTACCCTTCATAGATCGCTTATGCAACACTAAATAGTGGTACAATGTTTCAGTAATTTCCAAAATCTGATTTGAGCGAATATCAGCACACTAATGCATCAACTAACATATTTCGATAGTTGATCAACTAGTAATTTTATTGTCATCATTTTTTTTCTTATCGTCGATACATACACACACACACACACTTCTGTTTTACTTTGTCGCAACATTCTTTAAACATTTTAATAAGATTTACACTTCTCGTGCAACAACAACAACAACTATCTTATTTTGCAAAACTTTATTTCAATAATGTTCTCAATTGCTTACGTTCAATTATTTTCATGTTTTTCATATGCAACTATTTTTATACTTGAATACAACATCACATAGTTTTACGATAGACCATAGCCAACCGGTTATCAACCACATCAACGTTAGATTACTATTCTCATTTTATGATCTTTTTCTCTATAAGTTTTTACTACTTATTTACACATGTCTCGATGGATGATGCATCGACTCGCCATTATTTTATACACTCTCGTGGGCGAATGAAACGATTATTTCTTTTCGAATTTTCTATTTTTCTTATTTCTATACTCAACAACACACATTCAAGAAACTATTTATCCTAGTTTATTCTTTATGCGCACCCTCATCTTCCATCCTCAAGATCTGTATATTACACTGAGATAAAACTCTTATACCCTATTTATATCTCGCAATAAACTTTATATAAAAAACTGATACTATAAAAAAAAGACACAAAAGAGAAAGATAAATACTTTTGTCTATGGCTGTAAAGCACAATGTAGACATCTTTATCTAACTATTGTTTATCAGTTGAATATAAAGAGAAGAAAAAACCAACACAAAAACAAAAACACACATACAACAGAAACAAACTCATTATAATCGACCATGTTGATCCTTTTCTACATGCTATTAATTGTACAAACGTTTCATCATGTTTCTTCTTTGAAATGTTACAAATGTGATGCAAATCGTGATGATTTTTGGATCGATGTCAACAATGTTCCGCCTTTCTTCGATGACTGTCCTTTGGTCGAGTCACAGAAACACTGTATTGCATCAATTCGATGGTTAACAGTCGGAGAGTTGAAAGAGACTCTAGTTGAATATGAAAATGATCTTTATGAAGAACATCGTCCAAATGATTCTTCACTCTCCTATGTTTTCGTTGACATAGAACGTAATACTCAGTCGGCTTCCAGTCGACTTTTTATCTACAGTTGCACAACAGATAAATGCAACGATCGAACAAATCTGCTCAGAGCATTTCAAGCATTGAATCTAGTACAAAATTTTGAACAATTGGATGTTTTCTTTGACTATGATAACAAACCATTTACAGAACAAGCTTCATGTCTTGAATTTTCAAATTCATCTCATTCAAATTGTCCGACAACGCCCACTACATTGTCTATGTGCTCCAATTGTTTTCTTTTATCAACCGAATCAACACAACAAATTTGTGCTCGTTGTCCTATTGATTCATATCAATACAAGAACATGGTAGACCGACAAGTCTACTTTTTCCTCGAAAATCGCACACGACTAGCCGATACAATAACATTCCGATGTACAACCAAGGCATGTAATTCATTGGATATGTGGAATCGAATTCATCAATTGAGTAAATTAGAATTTGACTTTAATCAATTTTATTCATCATGCTCTTCATTTCTTTTTCATTCTACATTTATGCTATCATTCAATACTTTTTTTTTCTTCGTATATTTCTTCTTCTTATCCTATTAATCAAGTTTCTTACTAACAAAACATTCTTTTATTTTTCTTCGTACATTTCTTCTTATTATCCTCTTAATCAAGTTTCTTACTGACAAAACATTCTTTTTTATTCTTTTTCTTTTTTTCTGGATTTATCAATAAAGCATGTCAAAAAAGTGTATTGTCATTACCTTTACCCATACAATGCCACTTCATCAGAAACAAACTTAAAATAATTTTGGGTGTGGGTGTGGGTGGGTGTAGTTGGGTGTAGTTGGGTGTAGTTGGGTGTGGGTGGGCGGGTGTGGTTGGGTGTGAGTGGTTGTGGTTAGGTGTAATTATGAGACTGTGGGTGTTGTTGTGAGTGTGGATGTAGACGTATGGGTGTATGAGGATCATTGTGTATACGGGTGCGCGACTGTGGGTGGGCGTGGGTGTGGATTTAAATGTGATGGAGTAAGTGTTGTTGTGAGCATGGATATGAATCTGAGGGTGTAGTAGGGGGGTGAGCGTGGGTACCAGTGCGAGAGTGTGAGTGTGGGTATGAATGCCGGTGTGGCTGCGGGTGTGCGCGAGAGATAACGATGTAATTCTCAGCATATTTCCACCCATACAAACATTCGAACCAAGATCCTCACACATCACTCCCCATTCCAGCATCCACAGCATCAGCCAGATTGAGAGACTCATCCACATCTATAATCATCCACACCCACACCGATATCAACACATCCTCACCCAGGCCCATATCCATACACCCACACCCTCAAGATGATTGCGAAGATTGAGTCCGTTTTCTTTCAACAAGCTTCATTTAACATCATGCAGATAAACAGTAGAATTTATTTATGAGTTGCTTATAGTTCTAAAATGTTTATAAAAAAATGAATAATCAAGAGATAACAGCTACTAAGACGCTGGCAATATACGAAAAATTTGATTTTCAATACTTTTTTCTTCGAATTCTAACAAAAAATCATTTGAAAATTTATTTATCATTTTTCTCGAAACATGGTTTTCAATCAGACAAATGGAAGTAACTCCGCCCGGCTTAGCTAATACTTGATGATTTTTTTTGTTTTGAGGGTGTCAATAAGTATAAAGTTTTTATCGACCAGTTTTTTTAAAGTCAATTCTTGGACTGAGAAAAGTGCGATTGACTATCATCCTTGCACCCTGCTTTGTAGTTCATGCTACAAAAATATTCACAAAAAAAGGAATAGAATTAAACTTCAAAATTCTGTCTGATGAAAAGTTGCGCAGGGAGCCTAACTTCAATTGGACACCCATCCCGGACTTACTTACATGTTCCTAGAGAGAGCTGTTTCGATTTCAAGAAAACAACGTAAATCAGTTATAGTTTCAGTTTAGTACGATTTCTTGAGCTTGAGTTTTTTTTACGAGAGGTGTATCTCACCAGGACTAGGCGTCGCTGAAAATTTCAGACTGTTTTGATAGTCCAAAGTTCGAAATTATTTCTGAAGATAGGCTTCTTAAGCCGTTGTGAATTACTCCATATGCCATTCGATTCTATTTTAAGACCTACTAGACAAGGGAAATAATCCATGTTATCTTATCTTGTGGCGGTTATAAAAACGAGCCTGAACGAGAGAGAATCATTTCATTGATAGCATCACTTATATTCACAGAAAAGTAAGTATATTCGATATAATACTATAATAGTTTTTGCTTTTCAATCTCTCACAATAGTTCATCACCAACAATATGATTCAACTTTCAACTATTGCTTTTCTTGCATTCGTAGTTGTAGCAACAGGTAGTAAAACATTATTTAATTAAATGCAATCAATGACAATTTGTCCTTTCTTTTTGTCTTAGTCAATGGTTTTACAACATTTGAACTCCAATACCAAAATATTACATTAGACCATCATAATTATTTACGTGCTCGTCATTGTGCACGACCTCTTCAACTTGATAATCAACTTAATACAATAGCACAAAATTATGCTCAATATCTTGCAAGTACGAATAAATTTCAACATTCAAATAATGGCTATGGTGAAAACCTTTGGATGTCAAGTTCATCAGCCCCAATCACCACTATTGATGGTTACTAAAAGAATTTTTCTGTACCTATTTTTAAATATTTTTTCTTTCTTTTCCTTTAGGAGAAGAAGCAACTCAAGACTGGTATGATGAAATTAAATATTATAGTTTTAGTAAACCTGGCTTTTCTTCACAAACTGGTCATTTTACACAAGTCGTTTGGGGAGGATCGACTCATCTCGGTGTTGGTATTGCTTTCAGCAGCAATAGCCGAAGTGTCTATATTGTTACAAATTACTATCCACCAGGCAATTATCAAGGTCAATTTGGACAACATGTATCCCCAGCTAATTGTTAATAATGAAATAAATATTTCATGGATATAACTATATATATATCCAATGCTAAAAGAAAACAGAAACCTATGATTTCTCTCTCATATTTTGCTATTCTTGTACAAGTCAACAATAACACAGAGAACGAATGATTTGATGCGTTATAGTGTTTTCTGTGAGACTGATTTTTACCATATCTACATTTGAGAGATTGTATATCATAGATACAATGGGCATGATGGACATAAAAGGCATAACAGACATTAAAGGCATTATGGACATGCTGAAGATGTGGACTGTGGTTGAAAGCATGTGTTTGCTTCTTCTAGACCAACACTAACAGTTTGACTTTTCCTCCTCCCTCAGCTTCTCACACACTAGAGAGTGGGTGTGGATGTGTTGATATCGGTGTGGGT